CCAGGTGTTGTGGTAGGCGCCTGTAGTCCCAGTTGCTTGGGAGGCTAAGGCAGAAGAATCGCTTAAGCCGAGGAGTTTGAGGTTGCTGTGAGCTGTGATGCCATTGCACTCCACTGAGGGTGACATAGTCAGACTGTGTCACACACACACACACACACACACAAAGTATTCTATAGCCAAGTGCCTATAATCCTAGCATTTGGGGAGGCCAAGGTAGAAAGATCACTTCAGACCAGGAGTTTGAGACCAGCCTGGGCATTTAGTGAGACCCTGTTGCTACAAAAAAATAAAAAATTAGCCAGGCATAGTAGCATGCACCTGTAGTCTCAGCTATATGGAAAGCTAAGGCAGAAGGACTGCTTGAGAAGCTGCTTTCCTGCTTGGGTTATAGAGTGAGACTTCTTCTCAAAATAAAACGAAACTAAAAAAATGAGAAAGTATGCTAAATGCTTTCAACATGCTAAGAGAAATTCTCATACAGTTCATAAATCTTCTGTAATTTACAGGTCTACTTAAAATTAAAGACTGTTAAGTTGGAAAGGGCAAAAAAGAATATTCAATTCAAATCCCTCCATTTTGATGTACCTGAGGCCCAGAGACATTCAGTGGCTTATTCTGGATAATGAAATCTGGAGGAGGCAAAGACAGAACTGCTATGCAGATTACTTTTTTCCTTTTGTAACTGAAATCTTATTGGTAGTGCTGAGGATAGTATAGCCACTTCAATTTGTACACAATTATTATTTTTTTTTTTGGTAGAGATAGTCTTATTATTGCCCTTGGTAGAGTACCATGGCATTATAGCTCACAACAACCTCCAACTTTTGGGCTTAGGTGATTCTCTTGCCTCAGCCTCTCAAGTAGCTGGGACTACAGGCACCTGCCACAATGCCCGGCTATTTTTTGATTGCACTTTGGCCAGGCCGGTTCGAACCCGCCACCTTCGGTATATGGGGCTGGTGCCCTATTCACTGAGCCACAGGCACCGCCCATGTACACAATTCTTAACATACACATATCAAATGCCATTTATTGTAATTTTTAAAAAAAAGTTTTCTAGGCTTTTAGTGAAGTTACTTACAATGTACACATTCCTGAGTTTACTCCAGTTTTGTAACTTTGATTTGATGTTTTTCTGCATTTGGCTTAAAAGGTGTTTCTTCCCAAGGAACTTTTCTGTCAAATGCGCTTGATTGAATAGGAGAATTGGGTTCATAAATAGATTCACTGCAAACTTTATATATAAATCATAGACATCAGTAAAGTTCTTTATTCCATCTTCTTGCCTTATGTCATGAAGCATAATAAATCTCACATGCCCTACAGTGACAAATGTCGACACAAACCACTCGAACTTGTGCACAGTCTTTAAGTCCATGTTAGACAGCCACGTGTTCTCATCCACCAGGTGGCGAGCAGCATGAGATATGAGCTGGTTTAGATGACGGTGGTTGTCTTTGGATTCTGTTTTCCCAGCTGGCAAAAAACACCATTTCAAAAACTGTATTATCATGGTGGCCAACAATTACCAAGTAGAAGCTTCCAGACATTGTCTTCAATTTGTGGCTCCCGAAGTGAGATGCAGACAACGGAAACGCCCAGTCCCTTCCTGCTGCACGGACCCGCGCTCCACAGCTTCAGTTCCATTTACTGTACTTTTTAAAAAGCATATCCCTAATTTTATTCCCTTTATTCAACAATCTGAGGAGGAAGGTACACAAAAGTCAAGGTTCCCCTCAGAACCATCAGGGAGGAATCTCGAGGGATCTTTAATCAGCCTGGGGGAGAGACCCTTGGCTCCTTCCTTAAGGGCCTGGCTTGTTACAATTAATGGGAACTTCTTACCGTTTATCAGGGCAACTTCTCCACCCTTTTCTGCAGAAAGTCTGCCCTTCTCAGAGTTTAATAGAGGAGAGGGAAGTTTCCATGAGAAGCCGGGGGGTGAGAATGTTCGCAGGGGTGAAGAGAAGGGGTGTCTCAGACTCTAGGTCCAGCCTCCTGTCCGGGCCTCCCATTCCTCCAGGTAAGTAGCTCTCGGCTGGACAGCATGGGGCTTACTGGCACGCCAACGCTACTAACCCCTCGAGGGGGAGGAGGACGACCTTGTAACAAGCAACGGGAAAGGCTGGGCATCACTCGCCGTCCCACAGGGCTGTTTAGGCCACTCAGAGGGCTCTTTTATCCCCCCAATCCATCAAGCTAGTCTTTTAAGACCTCGCACCTCCATCAGGGGCTTCTTCAGTCTCCCAGCTGCAGTCAGGCAGGCTCGCAGGCTCCCTTGGGCCATCGAGTGAGCTCTTCTTTCCTGTCTTGTCACCATCTCTCCGGCGCATCCCTGGTGCCCCTCTTCAGTCCCGAGGGTTCCTAGGACTGGTCCAGTCTTCAGACAGGATCCCTGGGGCTCTAGCGCCCCCAATCTCCTCGGTTGGGCCCCGCATACGTAAGAAGGTGCCCATGGTCATGGCGTGGCCGGAACATAGCAGCTGGAGGTGGCGCTGACCACAGCGGTACAAGTACTCGACGCGCGTCGCGTCGCTGGGGGGTAGGTGCCGGCGGAACTCGCCCGGGGCACAGCAGCTCGCGGTACAGGCTCAGCCCCGGTCTCTGCCGCCGGCTGGGCCGGTTCCTGGTTGCAGCCAGGGCGCCGGAGCACACAACGAGCTCCCTGGCAACAGCGAAGCGCCGCTCCCATCCGGAGGCCAAGTGCAAATGCTACGGTCACTTCCGCCCTGCACTTTTCAAACCTTCTGCCTCCCCCTATTGTAATTTTTTAATTTTTAAAAAGTTATTCCAGAACCTTTCCAGCTTAAAATTTTCCTTAAGAGCATATCAAGTACCAGCATCTTCAAATGCTGATGAGCTGTTACGTAAGTCCCTTCCAATTTACAATTCATTACCATATATACAACATACGCAAATATTCCTTTTTGAGACAGTCATACTCTATCGTGCTGGGTCACAGCTCAACTGTAACCTCAAACCCTTGGGCTCAAGAGATCCTCTTGCATCAGCCTTCTCAGCAGTGGGGACTAAAGGGGCCAGCCACAGCACCTGGCTGTTTGTTTTTTCTATTTTTAGTAGAGACAGGGGCTCACTCTTGCTAGAGTTGGTCTGGAACTCCCAAGGTCAGCCAATACACCGCCTTGGCCTCCAGGAGTATGAGGCTTACAGGTTTGAGCATAAGCCACTGTGGGCAGGGGCTAAATACTTTCTTAGGACATTAACAATTTCACCTGTTAAAATAAACATTTGCACAAAAAACCCAAAAAAGATGGGATGAGGTGGGATTCTCTCCTTAAAAATGTTTCTACTACTAAAAAACCTGCATTTACAAAATAGTTGGTACAAATATGCCTCTGGAGTGGGCGCTCATGCCTATGATCCTAGCACTCTGGGAAGTTGAGGCATGTGGACTGTGTGAGCTCAGGAGTTGAGCACAGGAAGACCCCATCTCTAAAAATAGCCTGACATTGTGGCAGGTGCCTATAGCCTCAGCTACTCAGGAGGCTGAGGCAAGAGAATCACTTGAGGACAAGAGTTTGAG